AGTGTCAGACCCATTTACACTAACAGCAAATACAAAGACAACTTCTTTTTTTTTTTTCATAATAATTTTTGGCTTTTTCACCTTTATTTGACAGATGACAGAGAGAGAGGCGTATGACATGCAACAAAGGTGGAGCTTCAGTTGACTATAATGGACTCACTCTGTTTCAAGCGTCTGCAGCAGACCTATTGCCACTTGTTGACCCTTAAATCACCACATAGTTCTGACCTTAACCGTGCTATCTGGACACCAATTTTTTTTTTTCCTTTTATGGCAAAGGCATGCCCCGCCCTATTCTGCCTCTGACTGGCCAGTACTCGTTGCCCTCATTGGGTGGGTTAAGACATGAGGAGTGAGACTGGCTAGGGTAAGATGGCTTTACTTTGACCATGATGTCGAGCTGCGCATCAGCAAAGCAAGACATGCCTTTAGAACACTCCGACCTGTGTGGCTCTCTTCCCAGCTCTCCAGAAACACCAAAATCAAAATCTTCAATACAAACGTAAAATCTGTCCTTCTCTATGGCTGTGAAACCATTGATAAACTACAAGTGTTTATTAACAACTGTCTCAGATACATACTGAGGATTTGGTGGCCCAACAAGATATCAAATGTAGAATTGTGGAGACGCATGAATCAGGAGCAAATCCACAACAAAATCAAATCCAGAAAGTGGGCATGGATCGGCCATACACTTAGGAAGGATCCGAGAAATATAGCAAAACAAGCTCTGGACTATAATGTTTAAGGCAAGAGGAAGCTGGGGAGACCAAAATCCAACTGGAGGCGGTCCACGCTTGATGAACTTACCAAGACGGGGACCTCCTGGCAAGAAGCGAAGACCATCGCGCAGAAGAGAGTGAGGTGGTGATCCATGGTCGCCCTATGCTCCCAAGGGGGCCAAGAGGATTAAGTCAAGTAAGTCAAGACTTTGGCCATAGAAGGAAAAAGACTAGAGAGTATGTGGCTGGACTGTGTTTGAAACGCTTCAGGGATTTTAAGTTTAAAAAAAGGTGGCGGCATTCTATCAGTCACGGACTTTGCTGCATCAGATACTGTCGTAGCGCCAACCATAAACAACGCCAACTAGCGATCTATTGGCGATATTCCCATGACGCCCACTACATTGTTTAGCTTCCGTGCTAGTAGATTTGATTTATCAAAGATGCTAGCAAAGCAACACAGCTAACACACACTCTCACTGCGACATCGTCACATATCAACATTTGGTCATGGACTTTCCACGTCCACATATGATGTGCAAGGTACCCTGGGTGTGTTGGTTGTTGACGTTCTGGGACACCGTGTCAACTTCAGCCTGTTACATGCGTTGTCTGTTTTCAAAATACACTTCTGTTCTTACAGGAAATGTACAGTTTGCATACAGTCTCTTTCAAAATAAAAGCACTTTGTCAGTACAACACTGCAAATTGATGTTTTTTCCTTCAACAAACACACGTGGTTAGATTTAGGAAAAAAGAACAGGGTTTGGCTTTAAAATCGTTAAACTATAACGGCAACTGGCCAAGTATCATGCCGACATTAGAGGCCATTTTTTTTGTTGGTTTCTGATGCCATAAGTCACTGCCCAAGTGCCAGATTTCAATGACTTCAGAGTGAGACACAGTACATAAAATAAGCACAGCCATGTCAGATAGGTCAGATCATGATGTTTAACTATATAAATCTTGAAATGTTCCAGTTACGGCTAAAAAAAAAGGCAACAGAAATAAACAAGTTTGCTGATTCCACATATCTCCACAATTCAAAACAGTTTTCTACCCGGAAGTGACCATTGTTGACAGCACAACGTCACAGTGATTCGGTCTGTTCATTTCAAAAGAGCAGCAGCCAATGAAGGAACAGCAACACTGACATCATCACTCACTCAGACCAATGGTGTGTCTTCATCATTCAGTAACTCACCAACAGACTTTCACGTTTATAGGGCTGCTGCGGTCCAGCCAAAAATATCACTACCTGTACTCTGCCTTGCTCACTCGCTTTCAGTTGTCTCCTCTCCTGTCCTGTCCTGTCCTGTCCTGTCCTGTCCTCTCCTCTCCTCTCCTCGTCTGTTTTTGGGGGCTCAGTGATAAGATCTCCCTCAGTGGCAAACTTTGGGAGACATCTTAAAGATCCCCACTGTCACTTCAGCTTAATGCAGCCCTGTGGGCTCTCAGTACAAACACACACATGTACACACACACACACACACACACACACACACACACACGGCCTCCCACTAATAATAGGGGCAGGGAGAGGCAGCCTGGATTCGAGGGCTCGTAAACACACTTCTTTCTCCCAACAATTCTCTTTGATCTTTATCAAACAAAACAGTTTCCTTGGTGTATTTTGTGCTTCCATCTCTCGACTTGAACATGCTGCAGTGCACTTTTCCCACTTCGATTTCCCCACCCATAAATAAAATGAGAGCACATTTGGATTTCCTGACTGTGGGCTTTCAGTAGGCCGATCACTGCCACGTCTGTCAGATCCATTAATTCAGAAGTGTGCGAGCAAGTTCTGGTTAACCGTTTCCTGGGGCAACGTGTTTATACCTCAAAACAGCCCATTTGCATATCTTATAACATTTATTTTTAGCACCATGCCGAGATGGCAGACATGCATTACTTATGTTTTTGAAGGGGTTTAAACGGATCAACAGAGCTGTCTTTTCGCGCCACACAGCAGCAGAACTTCCCTCTGCCGAGCCACGCCGTGCGACTCTGGATGTTTAACTACGATTGAGTTCAAGCTTTCCTGTTAAGGGTTCCCACTTCCTGTGTTTGCAGGGAAAAAAAAAAATCATGTCCTTCAGTTTCTGGATCCCATGGTCCATAATGATCTGATCTCTGTCTCCCATAGGCGGGCCGTTGCTATGGCAACCTGATGACGCTCTGAGGAAGGACGGGAGGGAGAAAAGGGAGGGAGGTGCAGGGAGATGAGGAAGAAGGTAGCTGCACTGAAGATTGAGTATGTTTGAGAGGATGACTCACTCGGTTACAAATAAGGGTGTGTGGCATCTGTGACACTTGCGGTCTTTGTGCTTCACACAGAAATGCAGTTTAGAACCTATTTAGGAAGTGAACAAGAGGAAACCCTGTGTGTGTGTTTGTGTGTGTGTGTGTGTGTGTGTGTGTGTGTGTGTGTGTGTGTGTGGGAGGGGGGTAACCCTAAGGTGGATTTTCACACACAGTACAAACGAAGTGGTTTTAAAAGCCGCTCGACTCAACGCTGACTTCAGCACTGACAGCGTGAAAATAATGATTTATGATGTGAACAGACAGAACTGAGGCGTGATCATGTGCAGAGGACATGTCCCCATCCATCCTCCATCCATAATGGCTCCTACACCCTTGCATGGCTCTCTGCCTCTGCTCCTGCCCTGCTGTTGCCATAGCGACCGCTCTGGTACAGACTCAAAACAACTTACTGACAAAAACCTACATTTTACCTTTGGATGTTAACTGCTCCAAATGAGCCTGAGATGGGTGGAACAGCAGCCGTCTGTTGCTCTGCATATTTTTCTGCTTAGTTAAAGACAATAAAGTCTGAAACAGGGAGGTTTGGACGCTGCACAGATTTCTGCCTTGATGCATTTTGCAATTATGTTTGTTGTATCTGGACAGTGATGTGTTCCCAATGTGTAATGTTCCTGCACTGAAAACACATGAGGCCATTTTGTGTGATTTTGTTGTTCATTAATTCATAGTTTGCTTAATTGTGTGATGGTGGTACGAGTGTGTGTGTGTGTGTGCATACTCCTAAACAGACTTTGCTTTAGACTGTTGTTACAGAGGCATGATTCACTTGAGAAAAATAAATATATGTCCTGTTTTGCTGAACAAAATGATCTCAGAATGAGGAGAAAAGCTTTTAATGAAAAAAAAAATGCTCTTGTCTTTTGAATAAATTAGGTAATTATCTTAAGATTCAGAGAAAAATTCAAGAACAAAAAAATCTGTTCTTGTTTGTCTGTATAAATGAGATTATCATCTCAAAATCTGAAGAAAAGGTTTTATTTAAAAAATCTGCTATGCTTTTCCTTAATTAACGAGATAATTGACTCAGAATTCTGATGTAAGTTTTCATGGGAAAAAATTCCGGTCTTGTTTTTCTAAATTTACAAGGTAATTGTTTTAAAATTCAGAGATTAAAAATAGAGAGTAAAAATTTTCTGCACTGTTTTTCCTAAATTAGGGAAACAATTATCTCAGAATTCTGACAAAAGTTTCATGGAAATTATTTCAAAAATTGGACCAAAGTTTATATGAAAAAAATCTGCTTTGTTTTTTCCTTAATTGAATTTTGACAAAAGTTTTCATGGAAAAAATTTTTGGTCTTGTTTTTCCGAATTAAGGAAATCACTGTCTCGAAAAACATATCTGAGAACAGTTTTTTAAAAAAATAAATAATCAAATGAATAAATAAATAACATAAAAATACTCTGTTTTTCTGATTAAACAAGATTATTAACCCAAAATTCTGAGAAAAGTTTTTATAAAATTTTATGCTCTTGCTTTTCTGAATTAGTGCAAATACAATCTTGTCAATACTGAATTAACAGCAGTTTTTCATGAATTCAGAAAAAAAATAGCAGATTTTTTCCCCATTAAAACTTTTCTCTGAATTCTGAAATAATTATCTTGTAACCTCTGAAAAACAGCAGAATTTATTTTCTCAATTGAAATTAAAGATGTACTAATAGCCAAAAAAAAAGGCAAAAAAAAAAAAAATCCCCAGGGGTGAGTGCTCCTTTCCAATCAGAGACGATCTCTGACGCTACCTTCCGTACACAATAGCATTCTTTCAGTGAACAGGGCCGGCGCTAGGACCCGGGGCGGGCACCGGGGGAAGTCCTCTGCTGCTGGCGGGGCAAGGCAGAGCACACAAACACACACACACACTCACACACACACGGTCCACGCACACAAGCGTACACAAACACACACTTCCACACACACGCACACACACTCCGCGAGCTTCTCCGACAGAGGAGAGAGAGAGCGCGAGCGCAGAGAGGGATAAACAGAGAGCGCGAGAGAGCGAGACTATAGGAACGCAGCGGCTCGTGTGTGTGTGCGCGTGTGTGTGTGTGAAGGTACGCTCGCTCGGTGGTTAGAAACGACTGGCGGGGCGGATATGGAGGGGCTCGGGAAAAACGCTGGGAAGTGACCGAGCACCGAGACCAAGAGAGAAGAGAGGAGAGAGGAAGGAAGGAAGGACGGACGGACAGCACGGAAGGAAGGAAGGAAGGAAGGAAGGACGGAAGGAAAGGAGGAGAGGAGGAGAGAGAGAAGTGTGACAGAGGAGAGGAAGACTGTGAAGAAGGGGCTCGTCTGGAACACACAAGGATCCTAAGGTGACTTTATGGGGCTTTATCTGTGTGTGTGTGTGTGTGTGTGTGTGTGTGTGTGTGTGCGCGGGGTGTTGACATGTGCTGCATGGCTCTGCACTTAAAGGGAAGAGTGGAGGTGTGTGTGTGTGTGTGTGAGAGTGTGAGGGGGTCGGGGTATATATATATGTGTGTGTGTGTGTCCAAGTGTGTGTTTGTGTGTAGCCTATATATACACATCAGTGTGTGTGTGTGTGTGTGTGTGTGTGTGTGTGTGTGTTTAGGGTTGTTTTTCCACGAGCTAAAAAGGGGCCAAAGTGTGTAAAGCGAGCTGAGCTGACCGCTGTAAACTGGAGTGAAGGGATCAAAAGGAGTGGATACTTTTTTAGGGAGCAGCATGATCCCAGTCCAACACACACATGCACACACACACACACACACACACACTTCTCAGGTACTTGAAGTTGAAGCTGGAGGAGAAAGGGGGGGTAACAGGAGTCAATTTTTACCACTCTGCTTCATTGTGTGTGTGTGTGTGTGTGTGTGTGTGGAGTTTCCAGTGCAGCAGGTAACACACACTGTTCGGTTGCAGGTTGCAAAAAGCCCAGAATGCATTTTGTGTTTGAGGCTCGATAACGTAGTAGCAGCTCCTTCCTGTGTGTGTGCGTGTACTGTATGTGTGTGTGTGTGTGTGTGTGTGTGTGTGCCATATACCGCAAACAGGTTGAGGGGAGGCAGATCTGATCAGACGCACAGCAACAGAGGAGAGAGCGTGGCACAGGCTGAGCAGCAGCACATTGGATTACACACAGACGACTACACACACACACACACACACACACACACACACACACAAGCTCCATGGCCAGCAGAACAGCTGGGAGAAATGTGTGTGTGTGTGTGTCAGTGCCTGAGAGCGTTTCACTTAATGCACGCGTCCGCCTCTGCACGTGCGGGACTGTTTGCTTTTATATTATCCTTCGCCACTGTGTGTGTGTGTGTGTGTGTGTCCGTCTGAGGCTGTGTAAATATGTATGTGCGGGGTAAAGAATGTTCTGTCGTCTCCTCAGACAGACGCCGTGTGTGTCTACCTCCACCTCCACCTCCACCTCCCTCCCACCTCCACCCTCTGGTCTGGAGACAGGAGGTGGAGGAGGGTTACGGGGGGAGGAAGAGTGATCAGATGACCGACAATAAGGCAGATGAGGAGATTAATCTGGTAGCGAGGGATGAGATGGAGAGGAAGGAAGGGAAAAAGGATGATGGAGGTTTTTTTTTGTAGGAGGTGGAAAAGAAAGCGGAGGAGACGGAGTGGAGGAGACGGGGGCTGACATGCTCTCTCCAGGAGTGCTCGGGAGTGCTGCTCATTCATAATTCACCTCCATGCCAAACGTTCATTCACATATTGACCCCCCATGGCTGCGCTCAATGGAGTTCTCGCCCCTCCACCTCTCCCTGTCTCTCAATGGACACCCCTGCAGCGTGACGTTCAGTTAGCCCGCTTCTTTTCCACTTTGGAGACAGTTGAGTTCCTCAGAGGAAGCCCGCGCTGCTTTTTTTGTCTCCGTTACGGCTCTTTTGACACCGGCGGCTCGTCACGGCGAAGCTCAGATGTGAGATTGAATCGTGTAAATTGAATATTGAATCCAGACTCCACCCCAGACGCAGATAATTGGTATGGATGGCTCAGTGGGTTAGTGCTCTCAGAACAACTGTTGTTAGTCTGATTCCCTCAACACAGCTAAAACAGTCCATAATGGATCTATAATTCATGTGTGAATGAATTGAACAGTCTGTGTTTTGAATAAAAGCACAGACGCCAGTGCATGATTTATTCAGCGTAAATACTCAAAAGTGGCTGCTTTAATATTTCTGATTGTGTTAGCGGTGCCTGGAGCTACGCTGTAACACACTGCTGCGCTCTGGTCAGCTGTGGCCCAGGAGCCATATGGCAGAGCGTCTGAAATGCACCGTCAGAATAAAATCTGTACAGCAGGAGTACGTTCAGTCCTGAAAGGTAAACACTACAGAGGTGCGCCTTATCAGCACAAGTGATAACAATATCCTGACTTCTGTAGTTTTATGATTACTCAGAGAAAAGAGGACAGAGAAGGGTCAGTGTTGACATCGTATCTCAGTGTGTCCATGCTGAAACGTCTCCTTTATTTTGTGGTTTTAAAAGTACTATGATTTTTTTCCCAAAGATACATTTAGCAGTAAGAGTGAGGCACTTCTGTCTGTCTGAGTGCCACCGCTTGACTCCCACTGGATCCAACCACACTAAATATAGTTAAACTAATTAAAGTCACTGTCCACCCCTCCACCACCCTAAAGAAAAAAATTATTAAGGCACCTACGATCATTAAAGGAGCTGTATCCGACAATCAGAGCATTAACATAACATTCATCCATTTAATTTCAGTAAGTGCTTATCCTGTTAGGGGTTGCAGGGGGCTGGAGCCTATTCCAGCTGACACTGGGTGAGAGGCAGGGTTCACCCTGGACAGGCCACCAGACTATCACAGGGCTGACACATAAGCCCTTTTTAGATAGGAACTGTGTAAATTTGCAGGAAAGCCCAATCAGTCTTTTTTCAGCATTGGCAGTATAAAAACAAAATCGGGCATCTACCTACTTTTGTTTATACGGAATGCACCTTTTTCGGGGCAATGGGGGGCGTGAGCAAGTAACAAAACGTGTAGCTCAGCGTGTGACGTAAACAGTGACGTGGGAGGGAAGCCGCAGCTATTCAGTCCTTTGGTGATTCTCTCGTAAGTCGGCCCGTCCTTCACCGTCGCCGTCATCTGTCGGTTAATGGCCTCTTCGTTTGCGAGGGCAAGGAGGGCGCGCAATTCCTTGTCTCCTCAGTTGCTCATCTTTACAGTGTCTGTCAGGTTTGCGTTTCCCTCTTGCTACTAGCTGCTCGCTAATTCCTGCTATCAGCTGTTTCCTGTTTATTCACCGCCAGTGGGTCGCACGTGCGGCGTCATCAACAGCTCCTCCCGTTGCAGAAGGCCGCCTCAGTCTGTTTAAACTGAAAGGGTTCTGCCAATATGTCTACCCTATGAGGCGGAAAATTGTGCGCCTCGGTTTGCCAATCCGGCTCTGTGTGTATGAACGCTTGCAGCTTGCCAGGAAAACGGCCCAACATTTGCAGAAAATCTGGCAGTGTAAAAGGGGCTGACACATAGATACAGACAACCATTCACACTCACATTCACACCTACGGACAATTTAGAGTCACCAGTTAACCTGCATGTCTTTGGACTGTGGGAGGAAGCTGGAGTACCTGGAGGAAACCCACGCTGACACAGGGAGAACATGGAAACTGAACAGAAGGGCTCCCCCACTCTGGGTTCAAACCAGGAACCGTCTTGCTGTGACGCGACAATGCTAACCACTGCACCACTGTGCCGGCAGTTTGTTAATATAACAGCAAACCTCTATTGTGATGTTAAGATATGGCGGACTATGAAGTCAGTCTCCCTCTGTGTGAAGTAGGGATGCACGATTTGGATTTTGTGCGGATATGTAACAACTCATTCTCATATTCTCAAGTCTCTTCGACGGCCCACCAGCAGATGGACACATGAAATAGAATACTTTTCAAAGTATGTAATATTCATTCTTTGTGCTAATTAATAAAACGCTTATTTAAAGGCTGATTCTCGTAGTTAATTTTAAAGTGAATATTGGCTGATACCGATATTGTTGCCGATGTTATCGTGCATCCTAGTGTGAAGGGTTCCTGTAGATCCTTAAAAAGTTTTAAAAGGCATTGAATTCATTCATCTTAAAATAAGGACTTAATTTGTAGTAAAAATACTAAGACATGGGAAGTAGGGTTGCATCCTGAAATCTCAAAATAAAGGGTAACTTTAAAAACAATTTACCGAATGCGTCTCGTATTATTTGTCACAAAAAAGTCATGTTTTACATTAAAATAAATATTTGGGCAAAATCCTCCCAAATGTTTTTTTGTCTTCAGTTTTGGCTTTTGTAAAATTGGTCTGTGTGTGTGCATGTTACTGTATGCGAGTCCCTGGCCCCCTTTTACACAGCACCTTTATTCCACCTCGGAGTTCTGTATAAAAGGTACACAGTTTGGGTATGGGGTTGTCTCGCCTCTAAGATGACAGCAGGGGTAGCAACAGCACCGATTGTACGTCTGTATAAAAGGGACAGCCGGCAGGATGGACCCATGGATGTGTTTTGAGGTTTTGTTGTGTGTAGCAGTTAGCAGCTAACTCAGAGGAGAAGAACAGAGGCCAAAAATGTCCGCAAGTTGGGAAAACAATGAGGTCCGAGAGCTCCATATCCTCCGAGCAAAGTGCGAGATCAGCTGCCATATAACAGGGACGCAGTGTTATGCCATTGTAATTGTTTATAAAGCGTTGCTGACACATTGGCACTTTTGTGTTACATGTCAAACCCATCATGCCTCTTTGCCTCTGGGATGCTGGCATGATATCTGAAATCACACACTGGGTCGGCATGATGCAGCTGTTGTTTGGTGCTGTGTAAAAATGCAAAGGCAGCGCAAAGAAGAGACTTTCTAGCGGCTCTATAGTGTGATCTCTGTGTAAAAAGTGTTCCTGTGTGTGTATTTCACTGGCTAGTGGCTAGTGGCTAGTGGCTAATCACTGGCGCGCTGCACTGCGCTTATACGATGGTTATCGCTGAGTGAGAGTGTGGCATCCAACCTTCAGTTTACCCCACATAGCACCATTAGCTCTGTCAGCACTGTTGCCTTTGGTAACACTGTTTATGCTTTTAGCATTGTTAGCTGCTAGCCACCTGCTCAGCCGCCTCCATGTTGAGAGCTGTGTGCAGGCAATCTCGGCTCAGACTGTGAGTCATAGATAAGCTCCTTAAACTGTTCATCTCTCAGCAGATGAAAACTAAAGATTGCTCCACGATAACAGAACAAGTAGCCGTATACATCCATCACTGCCTTTTTCTAAACAGTCATTAACAGAGAAACCGTTTTGACAGCACCCAAAGCATTTTTCAGAGGCTACCATGAC